CTTGTATTAGGTAAAACCTGTCGGTGGTTGTTAAATCCAGTTGTGCACGTCTAGGACTCCTGAGTTGTACATAGACAAATAACTTCTTCCGCAGGACTTACCTTGTGGGAGAAATGACAAGAATTGCCATAGACACTGAGGTCTTAGCAGCTCATCAATATTTTCAGAGGATTTTTTTAAGCTCTGTTAGAGCTGCTCGAAGTGTGAGGAAAAATACAAGCCCTGCCAAGCAATTATGAGCAGGTGCTGCATAATCTCAAACCACTATAAACATGAAGTACAAGTTAAAATGCAGTTTAAAATTGTGAACAGTTCTATATTAATGCAGAGGAGAACTTATCATTTTAATGTCTTAATTACACATGCGGGAAGACTTGGTAATATAAATGCTGGATGGAGAGCTCCAGCTTTCTCCTGGTGCAGGGCTCAGCTTGATGCGGCGCTGATTAGCACTGCTTAGGATTCATCTCCCGGAGCAGTCACAGGAATTTGGTGGCGATGACAGCAACCTGCTGTCTCGGAGAGATGTGAGCTGCGACGTTTTGGTCCGAGTGTGCACGTTTAGTGCTTCGGTATCGGAGGTAACGTCCAGAGAGGGACGTGCTGAGCCCTTGGTAAGCGCAGGCCGGGCGTGCGGCCCGAGGAAGGCCAGCCCAACAGTGACAGCCGGTCGAGGCCGCGCGCTGTTCTGCCGTTCCCCAGCATTCGGGTGCTTGCACGGCAGGGAATTCAGAGTTCAGGGTTATACGGCAAACGCTTGAGCTCAAGATCTCAGGTTGCCCTCCGAGTGCTAGTGTGTGTGAGGAGGGCTGCCTCGCCTCGGCGGCCCTCGTGGTGCTGCCTCTCCGCTCCCGCCTCGCTGTGTGGTGGCCGCGCGCGGCCCGCGCAGCGGCCCCCGCACCGGCCAGGTCGGCAGGAGCAAGGCCTGTACACGGGCTCCTGCCCGGCTGCTGCAGCCGCACGCGCAGGGGCCTCCTCGGGCGCGGGGAGCTCCCGTCCGCGTCGCTGGCGGCTCGGCGGAGCGTTCTGGGCGCTCTGCAGCGACCGCGGCGCCGTTTCAGCGGTGATCCCGGGAAGGGACCCTGCTGTGGCACCATCCCTGGGAGCACCGTGCTCTCATGAGCTGGCCGAGGGAAGGAATGTTTTATATTTATGTTATTTTGCCTAGGATCCACTCTTCTGCAGATGCACGTGCGTCAGCTCGCTCTTGCCTCAGGCCTGGAGTGGTTACGGGATCGGGAAGTGTGTGTCTAGTGACAGTGTCAGCCTAAGGATGCTGCTCTCCTTCCTGCACAGCCCTTGCAACATGCTCTCAGCTGTACTGATAATAATTCTTAATATACAGATATCTATTTGTGTTTTTTTCTTATTGCTTTTCAAGGCTTATTTTCACTCCTTGGGTTCACATATGGCCACAATTGTTGTCCTGCAGGTTACATCTGAAAGGGAACCGTGCTGCAGTCTGTGGGTCTGGAGGATGAAGTTAGAGGTTGGAAAGTCATTAAATCCTTTTTTTCACAGTCCCCTTCATACTGTGAAACTTTTGCCCCGTGCCAGTTTTAAATAACTGTATGGTCACTGGACTGTGGTACCTACTAGATCCTGTCATTCCAAACCGAATCCTGATGGTCTGCAAACTTTAGGCTTCTTATTTTGCTTTCAGGACCCTTAAAGATTATAGGTAAGCAGGTAGGGTTGAAGGCAGCTTCAAATACGAGGGACACGCATGTGAGGTTACCTGGTATTTGTTTCACCAACCACTGGATGTCACTGCTGCTCCACAACAGGTTCTTCCTGACTTCTTTTCCCTGGATTTGAAGGAAAAGAGAGAACAGAGACTCCTGGTTTTGGTGCCCAACTAATTGAATAAAGTTCATATATCTTGGAAAAATTGCCACAGAGACTACAACTCACATAAGCAGCATATATTTAGAGTTACTGCTAGGTTTCAAACCTCCAATTCTCAATGCAAGCCAGGAGATGAGATTGTATGTGCAAGTTACTGCAGTCTGGTACTGCTTATGGGCCTGATAATGAGTCACTGTGGTGACTGTCCAAGAAGTGAAATCAAATCTCTGGAAAAGGCTAAAATTATGATCTTACTAGAAGTATAAATGCAGTGTTATTATGGCTTGCAAGTGGCACATTTAGCCAGACATGATTTTTCAAGTTCAAAAAGTAAAATGTGCTGACAGGTCTGCAGGAATTAAGTTGGATGTGCAGCAGAAAAACCATCTAGGCCTCTATTTTTATGCTTTAAAGAGTGTATTAAATACAGAGCAAAAATGTTTTAAAATTGCTTTTAAATTGCAAACAGATGTTTTGTATTATTCAAGCTTTTGTAATCAGCTGGGGTTTTTCTAATTATGTTAAGCTACTTAGTATCTTTTTGTTCTTATGCTGTTAACTGTTTTATTCCTAAACATTACTTATCTACAAGGAGAGGATAAAATAAGCAAGCACGATGTTGTGCCTCGTAGTGTTTGCTTTGTTTCTTTTATCTGTTGAAATGCAAAAAAATTGTCCATTTGGAGTGTAACCCTTGTCTTTTTAAATGGAGAGCAAAAAAGCTCCTTGTGTAGACTTGGGGTGCTGGAGGGCAGCAGCACGATGCACCCTGTGCCAGATACTGCCTTCTCCAAGGGGCAAAAGTGCTGTGACTTTTCTGCCACCCTTCTGTGGAGCTTTTCACTGGCCTTCAGCTCGTGTTCCAGTTTGGCATTAAAGCACCTCTTTATCACGCACTCTAATATAACTAAATCATCAAACTTAACCCACAGGAATATATACGTATATAAAGCAGGAGACAGTTCTGTCTTTAATCTCCTGCTAAAAACACAATGGAAAAAATTTCCTCAGAACCGACGTGACGCACCTAGACAGCAAACGCCTCTCATCCCTGCAGAGCTGAGCAGCTTAAGTGCTCGTGCTGGAAACTGAAGTATTACAATTTGAAATCATCAGAATCTTTTGAGAAGGATTTATGAAAGGAACGCATTAGTGACCTGAATCCTGCAGTTTAAAAAGTCAGCCCAGCACTTGTGTGCCCACAGTTTATAAATAGAATGGGCAAGCTAAGGCATAAAAGCAGTTGAGATGGGGGATTTTAGCGTCAGCAAACCATGCTTTTAGAGACCATGCCACTTCAGAGCTTGCTTGCATCAGGCATGAATAAGAAAAGGCCTTATCATGAGTTAAGTCCTAGCTATAGTGCTTTCTGATTCTCTAACTTTCATTTTATGCAGGATCAAAATTAATGGTATGTTTCTACCATTTTTCTCCCCCAGTAGGTAAAGAATTGATAATGTTTTCTTATAATAAGTGGAAATCTTCCTTCTTGACCAAAGATGTGCTGTTTAAATACATACTATCTGTTACTCTTATGTATGTGTGGTTTGATTTCAGTTTCAGAACTAAGCTTTAAAATTTTTCTTTCCAAACACAAGAGTGATTCTTTGCACTTAAGCTCTTTCTTGCACAGACAAAAATATGAGTGTGGAAGTCTGAGTATCTGCAAATGTCTGTGTCAGGGCGAGTGATAGGATGGTAAAAATTTCCAGCTAACAAACTGCTGGTTTTACCTGTGGGGAGACTGTTCTGTTTTACTTAGGTGCATAATTGGGTAAATAGGCATTACAATTGCAAATCAAATGTATTGCTGATAACAATGATTTATATATTGGAAAGTGTGGATTGAATTACTCATATTATTTGTGTCTAAATCATCTGTAATTTCTCAGAAGGGGAGCGAGGGGAGGATTCAATGGATGCTTTGTGTGGAAAAACTAGTATGCATCAGTGGACAGAAAAACAAGCCAAGTATGAGGATACGTAGAGAGAAACAAAAGGAGGAAGTGATTATGCCACTCTGTGTGTTTAATGACATGTCCTTGCATGGAGTATTTGGCTCTAGTGATACAGCGAGCTGCCTGTATAGCACTGATAGCAAAAATAGAAAGGATTCGGGGAGAGAGACGGTGCTCGCAGGATACATGAGAGGAGGTCTGGAGCTGTCTTACCTGTATAGTGATCAGTGGCATGAAAATGGGAGCACGAGATGGATTCTGCATTTCCTTAAGAGTTAAAAAAAAATAATCAAGAAGAGCATGGTGGAATTGAAAAGCAGAATGTTTTAAGTGGCTATAAAAGAGCTTTTCCATGGCGCACAAAATTGGAAGCCGCCAGGGCAGCTGTTTAAGTTGAAGGGCTTAATAGGAATAAACAGAGGAAAGAGTCGCGCTTCCTGTGTCACTGCCTCCTCGATGCTAGTCCGTGTTGTAAGTTAGGTTGATGCCAACTGTGATTTGTCATGCTAGCGAGGAAATGCAAGATTCCTACTGTAACCAGGCACGTGCTTCACTGAGCCTGCTGCCTGAATATCCATTCTAGGCGTTCGTAAGGGAAAAGAAACTTCATGCTGATTAAAATGCGTGTCGTTTATTATTGTGATAGCATTTATTAGCAAATTTTAAATAGACATTACAGTTTCAAGTGAACTCTAAATTCTTGGCCTTTACTTAATCCCGTGGCCTTTCAGTGTCAAATGTGTCATATTCCTTCTGAGTATTCTGCGCCGTTTCTGTTTGAGGGCCGTGACTGACCGTGCAGTCTATCCCCAAAGCGAAATGTTGTGTTCCAAAGGGGATGTCGCTGATTTTGCTGGACTTTTCCTCCGCTTTCCCTGGCAGTGCCGAGCCATGGTGGGTGGTGGCAGCGTGCAGGAGGAAGCACGGAGTGGTCTGGAAGCGGCTGGGGCAGCGCTCGCTGCTCCCTGCTGCGTCCTACCTCTTTTGGGAGGTAAAAAGGCTCACTGCCTGGAAGCTGCTTGGGCCTTGTGCGTCTATGCGATGCACTTAAGATGCATTAAGGTGTGCATTTCCTAGCTTGTTTTCCCTTAATTTGAAGTACAGCCACCCCAGCAGATTTCATTCGTGCGAACGTGTTATTGAACAGTTCTGTAAGCCTGATATCGAAACTGATCAAGAAAAATATTTTTGCAGGTGCAAATACTGGCATTATGACGAGAACCTGCTCACCTCCAGTGTTGTCATCGTCTTCCATAATGAGGGATGGTCCACGCTCATGAGGACAGTTCACAGTGTCATCAAGAGAACACCAAGGAAATACCTAGCAGAAATTGTGCTGATTGATGATTTTAGCAACAAAGGTATGTTTGGCATATTAACACACCATGTGTAGAAAAGGAAATACCAACTTTTTAAAAAAATCTATTTTTTGCTTCTGTCTTATTACCTGTCATGGCTTGAGTTGACTATGCAAGAAAAGTAAGTTAATTCTCCATAGTCATTTCAATTTTCAGTGGCAGGTGAGCTCCTTTCCATTGAATTGCTTGTAGTGGGGGCAATCCTTTATGTGTACTCAAGTCTTTGAAGCACAGAATTTGTGGTGGCTGCTCTTCCCACCGTTACGGAGCACTGTATATTGCAAAGCTGTGTTAAATTGCTCCACTCTTTGCTCTTGTCAAAATGAACAAATTTGAAGGAGGTTACGATAAGCCTATTAGGAATATATATTTTTTTCTTTTCATTCCGTAGAGGAATCTTCATTTCTGTTTTTACTGTAACAGAAATGTATCTAAGGCTGTTGAATTATTCATTTTCGTTATCTTTTATTTTAAACATGATCTTTAAATGTGTTGAATTTGTTGCTGTTCCTTATTTTGAGGTGAAGGGGATACCTTTAAGTGCATTTTAATTTCTTCCTTTCTTCAACGTATGTATTTCAAAGTTTTCACAAGTGCAGAGATTTTCTTCTTCCCTTACAATATATATTCTGGTCTTGGTATATATTTACAATGTATGTGCTTATGTATGATCTTTTAAATGCAAACAAGCTCTGACTTTAGTGGTGTTATCTTCAGAATTAATGCATGAGGATAGAAGAATGAAAAAGAATAGAGACACCAGTGTAAGATTGATACAGGGGATATCAGTCTGATGCCTGCTTTGAAAGCTTTGAACAAATTTCAGAATAATGTATTAACTAGTGCAGGGCTCATTTTTTTTTTTTTACCAGATTTTATTGCGGCATAGTTCTGTAATAGATGTCCTTAGAGAAAAGGAGTAGACATAAATAAGAACACCTGTAGACACAGGGAGTGCATTCTTGTCGCCAAGACACCACTGACACATCAGTTACTGCCTTTGCCTTTTTCTCTCACTCAAAGTATCTAATTTCTTTGCCCCTTGACTGACTTGGCAGCAACAGTATTTCTGCTTCATCTGCAGGTTTATGGGAATGAATCCATAAAACTTGGGAGGCTTTCAGGTAGCAAGATAATAGCAAACCGAAGAAGTACTGAGAAACCCTTTCTGTAGGGTAAAGATCTGCAGGAGGTGCAAATCTGAGGTGAAAGCTCTTCAGTAGCTCTGTGGCGACGTGAATCGTGGTTTCAGGTCGTTGCCTTTGCAGGTCCCTGGCTGCTGTGCCCCTGGCTTTGCAGGGTGGGTAGCACCTTCAGCAGGGCCTGTGACACACACTGCTGACGGCCTCCTTGAGGTGACAAGGACCGTGAGCAAGGGGAGGCTTTTAGGAGCACGGGCAAGTTAGAGCTGGTCAGGGAGCAGAGGATACACTCCCTCTGCCCTCCTCTTTGTTTTTACAATAGCTGAGTTGGGCAGTGGCATGGAGAGATGATGACTCTGAAACTCTCCGTTTTATCAAGCAATCAGGGCTTCTCCCAGTCCCTGCCTCCTTGGAGTTGTTGTTTTCTGCTGGTATACTAGCAAGGAACTTGAAAGCTCAACTCATCCCATGGGCAGGACTGGCCTTTTTGGATACAAATCGGTGTTAAAAATACTTAATATGTGTTAATCTTTACATCATGCCTTGAAATAAGCAGGTGATGTTTTCTGTTTGTTTTTACGGGAGAGAAAAAGTTACCTGTATTGTAAACTTCAGTACATCTGTTTTGTAATATAGACACCGAATCCTGCATAATGGTCTCCTATATCCTTTTACAGCCTTTGAGAATTTGGCTCGGATATACGCACATGCTATAAAACAAAAATATCTTCTCTCCTAAGGGATATAATTTTAATAATTCAGTCAGCAGACATATACTGTATTTTTCCTTTTCAGCTGGGATCACAGATTTTCTTTGGGGCTGTTCAAGGACTGACTGAATTAGCAATATAAAATAACTACAACACTGATGGTCTCTAGGAATATTGCTAGAGTTTTACTAATGATTGGACTCAGTTTTGCAGAAGAAAATACATATATGTGATTCATGGAATGAGTGAGTCTGGCATAATAATTGACCTAATAAAACAGTTTTCCCAAATACAAATATTGTTACAGAAGCATATAATTTTTCAAGAAACTTAGTTGGAAATACAGAACTTTACTTACGTTCCCTGCTCGTATGTGAATAGTTAGCAGATACAACTAGCCTGGAACTAACATCCAGCAAGCCCTTATGTTTATTTTTCCCACACGTAGTTTTCCCCAGCAACTTTCCGAAGGCCCAAAATTCAGTACAGCAAGCGCAGGACCAAGTTTGCTCATGTGTATGAGCAGCTGTCAGGCAAGCACGGGCTGGAACAGCGCTCAACACCTCGCTGTGCAACCGCTCCGGCTCGCTCTCATGTTCCTTACAGCGCTCGAGGCTGTTGCTCGGTAAACATAATTAACGTAATTCCCATAACTCGGGTTGCGTCCTAGATCAAAAAAACAAACGTGGATCTCGCGTAGGATCTCGCTCCGCTCCTTCCCGCCCGCAGAGGTGGCGCGAGGAGATCTCCAGCCGTTAGGAGGGAGCTGCGAAACGCAAACGTGCTTAATCATAGCAGAGCTGCTGGTGGCTGTTTGCTTTTGCAGCCGGGATATCTGATAGAGCAGACGGAGGCTTCATACCTGTCTTGAGAGTCATCACGGGTGTCTGCGGAGGAAGGTTGGCACCGGTAGCTGCCGTGGGGGCTGCGCCCTGAGACCGCCCGGCTGCACGAGGCAGATGCTGAGCCAGGCACGCGCTTGGTCTCCCTCTTCCTTTCTGCTTCGTCCCTTTTTGCTCTAGGGACCTGCAGTTAAACCAAAGCCTAGCTGTTGGAAGTGCCCCTGCATGCTGGATTAAAAATAAAAGGTCACAGAGAGCATGGTGGGTCCTTTAGGAGAAATCCTGATTCACTGGAAGAGTTGCATGTAACTGCATCTATCAGTTTATCTGTATTGTAACTTACAGGGAGAAACAGTTGGAATGTTTGGGAAATGTTATTCTCATTATAATTCTTTGTGTAAATTTGGGGAGCAGGGATATTTTGCAGAATGACTTTTTGGTCAAAATATAGAGAGGACAGTAACAAGATGCTGCCAAGCTCTTTAAATTAAGCCAATTCTAATAACTGAATGCAAAATTCTGCATTAATATATGTTAGAATCCCAAATTCCTATCCCAGTATCAGTGTGGCCACATGTGGACTTTCTTTTCCTACCTCGTCATGAGTGTTAGCTGTGTGGAGGATACAGCAGGGATGGTCATGAGGATTTGTGACATCATATTTTCTCAAGCACTTGGTATGTAATATATCACCTTTATGGATTTCTTAAGAATAGGAGAAGAGAAGCAGTTCCCACATCTCTTTAGTTTTAATCTTTCATGCCTAGGATCTTTTGGAAAAAAAAGGAAGCATCTTTTTAAAAACCCTGATTCCCACTGTAATGCACTAAGGCATGAGCGGAGAGCCAAATAAGGGAACATCAGATCAGTGGTTATAATGTTTTGAAGGGTAATATATGTATAGTTTTAAACAGAAAATGAAAGATTTTGAGGCTGCTGATAGATACCATAAATTAACAAAATATAGAATTTAGGTGGGAAGAAAATTATTACTGGCTAAACAATATTTCTCACCATAAAAATACTGGGATTTTATACACTACTGTCACACCACCTTGCAAAGCCAAGTCTTTATAATATGGGAAAGAGGTAAATTCACAGTTTTCCTGTGGGAAATAGCACTTGCTCCTAGCCCTGGCAGGGTTTCAGATAATAGACTGCAAATTCCTGAGACTTGTGCTGTAGAAAAGCTTTACACAATCAGTAATACAGGTTTTTACAGCTCCCCATGAGCCTTACAATGTTTAACATTTGATAACTAAAACATTTGGTTTCATAGGCAGGAGAGCTGGAAATAACTTTAGGATTTAAAAACTCTAAAACTTTCCTGACAGTCTTTCGGTAACATTTGGAATTTGCAGAATAAATATGGGGTGGTTTAAGGATTCTGTTAGTACCCCTTTGGGATGACCTCCTAACTCTCTTGAATTTATTCTTTAAAAATATATTACTGCTATCAAATCTCATGTTCTGTATCTGTTGTGTGATATGTTATGTAGTGTATGTGATAATTTTTCTTTCTCTACTCTGATAATTCAATGCCCATGATTTTTTTCTAGTGCATGAGGATTTAAAAAAAGTTACAGATGTGCAAAAGAGGAAGGGAGGAAAAGGACACATAAAACAACTACTTGAGAAAACTTCTTTTTTTTTAGTAGAGTTGAAGAGAAAGGACAGCAGTATTAAAAGGTAGTGTTCTTCAGGAGAATTGCTGAGCTCTCATGTTTGGAAACTTAATGTTTAAAAAATCAGTTTCTATTTCAGTTATCTATACGTAGTCTTTGTTTTTTTGGGGGGAATACTTTCCTCAATACTGTGCAATATGGCAACTGTACTAAAGTGTAAAGCCACAGCAATCTCCAGACTCATATCATTTTAATTTGGGTTGCAGAAACAGTTACAGCTGAACACTGTGGGGACTTATAGCTGCCAAAAGGGACATCTTTCCCCTGCCATCCGTCCCCTCTCCTGGCTCTGCTGCCTTGTCCCTTCCTGACAACATGGCCAGACAGAAAATGGAGGTGCTTCACCCACCATAAACCTTCTCTTGCTAGGTAGATTGCTGCCAGATTGATGATGGGCCACGAGGTGAGACAAGGTCCAGAGTTGACGTGAGTCTTAGGGGTAGGATCCAGACAGGTCCAAGACAAGGTCCAGAGTTGACGTGAGGCTTAGAGGTAGGATCCAGACAGGAGTAAGGCAAGGTCTGGAGCTGACGTGAGGTGTAGGGTAGGATCTAGACAGGAGTAAGGCAAGGTTCAGAGCTAACGTGAGGCGTAGGGTAGGATTGCAGACTCAAGGGCATGAGCAGGAGCTCCAGGTTTTGTTGTCCACAGGCTGCTGGATCAGTTCATACAGGTCCTCTGCCTGCTCCTTGGTGTAAGCTGGTGCACGGACACCTCAGCTGTGGCACAGGTGGTTTATTTGGACTCCTACCTGGGAGGAAGGCAAGCTGTAAGCAGTTCTAGCAGGCCTGTCAGCACAGAAGTGATCTCAAATGGCCATCCCTGGTTAGATCAGGGTGGGCCTAGAGTGCCTGACTGTCAATCCTTCTGCCTTCCTCAATCTTTTCAACTGAATCATCTGTGCAAAATATTATGCAAGACTGAGATTTGTTTTAAGTATGTGCTAGGAATGTGGTTTCCAGATTAGTTTGGCAAAGATCAGTGTACAAATACAAATGTGCAACCGTTTAAGCATAGCTCATCCCCACTCAATGCACTAGCTCATCTTTTTACTGAATCCTTTTGGCTAAAGGTTTCCTGTCTTTCTGTTATGTTAGGGCTTTAATAATGTTTAATAATGACAAATCATTGCATCCTGGTCCTCCAACTTCTAGTGCAATCAGTAAAAAGAAGATTTGGCTACCAGGGACGCCCCCTTCTTTCCCCAAGTGGGGACAGGTCTAGGTGAAGGAGGGGGATGATCTGAGTATGGTTGGATTTTGTCTCGGGTTTCTACTGGACTGGTACACAACTATGATATGTGTTACCGTATAGTAACTTGAAGTGGCTGGCAATTTTTCACTTAACTCCAGCTGCTTTTGCACCTCAAACATGCTAGAGAAGGTGTGCCAGGAAATCAGAAATCCCCAGTCTCTTTCTCTTTGCATACTTGTGAACACATTTTTAATACATTTTTACATTTTACATTTTTTCACATTTTGTACATTTTTACATTTGTTAACTGTAGTACCAGGCGCTGAATTAAAGGCTCTCTTAATCCTGAATGCGCCAGGCAGACATTTTTAAGTAGAGCTTGATTTGGGTGTGTATAAAGCTGATTTTTCAATTTTACCTAAATGCTCCTCTCTTTCATCATTCAATAGCACACTTAAAGGAGAGACTAGATGAGTACATTAAGCAGTGGAACGGCCTTGTAAAGGTATTTCGAAATGAGAGAAGAGAAGGTTTGATCCAAGCTAGAAGCATTGGAGCCCAGAAGGCTAAACTTGGAAAGGTAGGAACCAGTTTACACTCATAACTCCAACTTTGTTTTTCTTCTCCTGTGTTAATTAGATGCATAAAAATTCTTAGTATTGTATTATGAATGTTGTTTTTAAAATAGATTAATTTTGCTCAATTAAGCATACCTTTTTTTAAATGTAAAAACCTGTCAGTGAAGAGGAAGCTAAATTAAATCTGTGTGTACAGAGGTAGTCATGATTTTGTTCTTTTTTCTTTTGAAGGTTTTGATTTACCTTGATGCCCATTGTGAAGTGGGAATTAATTGGTATGCACCACTCGTGGCTCCTATATCTAAGGACAGGTAATGTTCCCTGTTACTCCCAGTGCTGTCCTCTTAGGGAGAAAAAGTCACAGTAACAACCTTTACCTTTTTAACTGCAAATGATATGCTGTTTGTTTGATAATGATTTTATTATCTCCCAAAATAAAAGTTGTTTAAGGAAAAAGCAAAACAGCCAGGCAAATAATGATATTTTAATGGACATACTGAATATTTTGCTTAGCATAGATTCACATATGAGAAGAATCTTAGAGTATAATAGAAATTTTCAACCTAGGTAAATAAGGAGCCTGATTAAACTATTTATTTATTTATTACTAATGAACAACATGTTTTTTTCTTTTTTTGGTAGAGCAGAAGTAGTAGCAAGAGAGAAAGATTTAAATTTAATTGGCACTTAAAAAATATGTGATCTCAAGAGTTTTATAACTTGAACCTTTGGTCTTGCGATATGGTCTTACTGCTTCATCTGAAGTGCTCTGGAGTAATATATATATAAACCCATATATATATGAACTTTTTAAGGCTGTAACTTAGCTACAAGGCCATTCTGGGGCCAAAATGCTAGAAAGAAGGTAGAAATTTCCTGTGTGCTTCTGTTGAGAGCAGCTTTCTGGCCAAGCCGCCTTCTGCTTGTGCAGATTCTTCTGCCTTACAGGAATGGCCAGTGTTGTCATTTCTTCCCCCCCAGTATGTTTTTCTATCTCATATAGCATTTTCTTAAAAACAGAGGAGCGCCCTACGACAAGATTTCAGCTTGGTCAGTTTAACTGGAAAACTTGCTTTGGAAATTCTGGGAGAATAACAAGATGATGTGTTTTCTTCGTTGAGTATTGTATATGAGAGATTGCAGTAATAAGTATATTGCAAATCAGAAAAGAATTATGTTGAAGAGTGCTGCTAGGACAGCACTAGTAACATTTTGTTTCTTTGGTTTTGTTTTATTGTTTGGAACAAATTGGATTTTCAAGGCAGTTGAATGGGCTAGAATAGTGAAAATCCATATTTACAGTAGTAAAAGCTAAGACTTTATCTTACTTATGGACACTCAGGAACTAATATGAGTAGAAACTATGGGAAGTAATAATTCTGTGAGAACCCCTCTAAAAGGCTCTGTTGCCTGTAGCAATGCTTTATTAGAAGACCAATGACAAGAGTGTGCAGAAAAGACAAAGTGTAAATATATTGATGTATTAGCATTTCAGACCTAACCTTTCTGCCTTTGCTGTATCTTAGAACCTCTTAAAATAACATATGGAAAGGCCTTTCTATTTTTTCTAATGAGGTTTTGTTTTTAAACAATCATACATTTACAAATGACTTGTCGTATAAATTGCTCTGTGAGGAGGATTAAAAATTAATGGTGTGGGTTTTAGATTAGACAGATGACTTCTCTTAAATTGTATTTTGCTCTTTCTTTCCCTTCTGTAAATGTTTCAGAACTACATGTACTGTACCTCTAATAGATTACATAGATGGGAATGATTATTCCATTGAGCCCCAGCAAGGTGGGGATGAAGATGGCTTTGCCCGAGGGGCCTGGGACTGGAGTTTGCTATGGAAACGAATTCCATTAAGCCACAAGGAAAAGTCCAAACGAAAGCATAAAACTGAGCCTTATCGGTAAAGAGTGCTGCTTACGTGCTGTGACTCGTGGTGAATAACTGTTGACACCCTCTCGTTTTTCCCTCCCTGCTCTTCTCCCCCACGACCTGCGGTTGGTGTGAACGTGCCGCGCGTCCCCGCCGCCGTCCCCAACCCTGCAGAACCACGTGCACGGTGCCGCTTATAGATGTCATAGATGGCAACACTTATAAGATTGTCCCGCAAGGGGGTGGTGATGAAGACGGGTTTGCTAGAGGAGCGTGGGATTGGAGCATGCTATGGAAGAGGGTTCCTTTGACCAAGCGAGAGAAGGAACTCAGAGGGACAAAAACCGAACCGTATCGGTAATCACTAAATCACTTACCCGTTTCTTCTTCCCTAAGTCGATATTGATCCACTAAAACCTGCATGCACTCTCAGCTTGGAAATCTTCCCCTTCCTGACCTCAGCAGCTGCTTTGTTTATTCTGGCCTTTCCCTA